AGGAGGGGTTGTTAAGCACTGGGATGGGCTGCCCAGGGGGGTGGTTGAGTCACCATCCCTGGATGTGTTTAAAAACTGTTTGGATGTGGCCATGATTTAGCAGAGGGCTGTTAGAGTTGGGGTAGGATGGTTTGGTTGTGGTTGGACTCAATGGTCTTTAAGGTCTTTTCCAACCTGAGCAATTCTATGATTCTATGATCCCTATCGCATCTCAGTGCTCAGTTCCCAGTGATGTTTTCTTTTCCAAGAGGAAAACATGGTGACAACACATCCATGAACACATGGAGTCCTCTCACATCTCCCCCCGAAATCTTGCAGGAAAATTGGTGCTGGGTCAGATTTTAATCAGAATAAATACAAAGAAAAATCCATGGCTGCAGCATGTGTTCCCAAATCCTTTATTCTGAGGGAGGAAACCGCCAGCAAAATTCTGTTTGTTTTGCAAATATATTCAGGCTGGCAGACATAATTTAAGGGAAGAGTCGTTCAGCTGCAGTGTTTCACATTTTCCAGGAGCGATGCTGTGTGTATGGGCACGGGGCAGAGCTGGGGGTTGATGCACCCCATAGGGTTTGGGGCAGCCTCGCTCCGAGCATCCCCAATGATGCTGCGCTGTCCCCTGAGCCCATGGCTGGGAGCTGCCCTGGGGAGGTGTTGGTGGTGCAGATGGCTGTGATCCCCCCCAAAATTCCCAGAGCTCTGAGGGTCTGTAAAGCCCCGTGTGACTGTTTGTACCCACAGCTCTGTCCCAGAGCTGCTCCTGGCAGCATTGTGGTGCAGGTGCAGCGCAACGCAGCAGCAGATGACGCTGCGTGTTTTTCAGGCTGTGGTTTTGATAGCTGCTAATACTGCGTTCCGTGAGATGTCTGATGTGTGACTCACATCCCGCATGTGAGAGCCTCCACCTTTTTTTTTTTTCCTCCCTCAAATCCCACTCCATAACAAGTGTTTCCCTATCTGGATCCTGCTGCAGTTGATGTCTCCTGCACAGATGGAGCACCTTCAGCTTATCAGGGTCTGCTTAAACCCAAACCTTGTGCTTTCCCAGGCTTTTCCACGCTTTTGGGACACATTCTGTATCGCATGATCCTTCAAGGATGAGCTTAAGCGTTCTTAGATTGCTTCAGTCCACCCATAAACTTCCCGCTTAGATGTGCAGTCAGGCTCACCCCAACATTAATTAGTTCCCATTGCTGGTTTCCAAGTGAGCTCTTTCCTCTCTGCCCCTGCAAAGGCGCATTCCATCTCACACTGATCTTTGCATTAAAGGCTGATTCAGCGATGAGGAGACATTAAGTTGGTCTCCTTAGTTTCATCCATTGGAAGCTCTCTCTCTCTGCAGTTACCCAAAAGAGCACCAACAATTTCCAGCAATTTGGGGTCTTTTCTTGCTGTCAGTGAATTTGCAGAATGCTTTTTTGTTTGCCTTGCTTCTCGCTGCAGTGGCACTTCTTGTGATTGTGCCTTTTGGATTTTTCTATCTGGTGTGTATACGTGTGTTTTGCCCACAGCAATCACTGCTGTTTTGCAGTTTCTGTAGCGTTTGAAGCCTTCCCTCCAGCCTGCCCTCCCTTCAGCCTTCCTTTCCTCTCTCCCATCTTCCCTTCCTGCCTTCTTTCCTTCCCTCCTGCCTTCTCTCCCTCCTGCCTTCCTCCTTTCCCTCCTGCCTTCCCTCCCTCCTGCCTCCCTCCTTTCCCTCCTGCCTTCCCTCCCTTCTGCCTTTCCTCTTTCCTGCTTTTCCATCTGCCTTCCCTCCTTCCTCTCCTCCCTCTCTCCCGCCTTCCTTCCCTCCCATCCACCTTTCCTCCCTCCCACCTTCCCTTCATCCTTCCCTCCCTTGGGTGAACACTTCCCATTTTGTGG